CTCTCTCTCTCTCACACACACACACACACACACACACACACACACTGTCCCTCTCTGGTCAAATTAAAATAAATAAGTAAATAGAAGTTAAATAAAATAATTATTAAAAAAATTATAGATCTCTATTTGTCCTTTGTAAGTTTCTTCTAAGAAATAAGGCATATTTCTTAAGTCAAAAACATCCAGAGATTGTCATGTTTAAAGAGTTTGTGAACATGTAAGAGAAAAAAAGAACTACATTTTAAATAAACCAATACTTGCTTTATAAATACACCATATATTTAGTGGCTTTGTGTGGTACTTTTTAAACTATATATAAATTCACCCAAATTTTAATGGCTGAATTAGACGTTTGATTATCTTTTCAGAAAGAAAAGAATGAAAGTATGAATGTTAAGCTAATAAAAAATTCATTATCTTAAGATAAAAAGAAGGAACAGAATGTAAGAGACAGGGACAAAAGTTAGGTTTATCTGAATTATCTCTTACTAGACATTTCTTTTCCCTTATTTGTAGTTTTGCTTTCTATTGCTTCCATTACCTGCACTCAACCATGGTTCAATATTTTGACAGAGAAAAAGACCAAATTTCATAACTTTTATTACAAAATATGTTGTAATTGTTCTATCTTATTATTATTTATTGCTGTTAATCTCTTTCTGTACTTAATTTATAAATTAAATTTTATCATAAGTACATATACATGCATGTGAAAAAGCATCATGTACATACAGTTCAGAACTATCTATGGTTTCAGGTATCTACTGGGGAGTTTGAATATATCTCCCTTGGATAAAGGGGCATTAATGTATTTTCAACCATAGAACCAAGTAAATATCTTATATAATAAAAGCAGATTTAGAAAGGGAAAAATGAAACCAAACTGAGTTCCCAAAATGTGGAGTAAGAGTGATCATTAACCTCTCTTCTGAAACAACCAAAATATGGACAAATAATAGGAAACAATGGTTTTCAAAACACCCTAAATCAAGCAACGTAAGAGGGAAATGGGAAATAAAGTAAACCCTGCAATTGCCTCAAGTTACTGTCTCTAGAGAGTCTCCATGCTGAAGCTCATGGAATGAATGCCAGGGGAAAAAACTGGGTCATTGTAGATTGTTCAACAGGCCATTCATTAAAAGAATATAAGAGTATTTTTGGACCAGCAGTTAGTGTAATGGCTATGTCATTAAACTCCCATGTAGTTGACCATGGTTTGAGTCCTGGACCCAGTGGCTTAAACTAACACTGGGCGTATGTGCGTGCGTGTCCAAGATCCCAAGAAGAGAATGGAGGAGAAGAGATTGTGGCATGACCATACCCCTTGGGGGGTGATTTCTCACTTTCTGTCTCTCTGTCTCTCTCTGTCTTTCTGCTAAGCACACATACCCTGTAGCAAAAACTTCTCAAAACAAAAAAAAAGAATATTTTAATAAGGTTTATGCATGTAAAGATAAAGCTTCAAAATATATGAAGCAAAAAGTGAAAGAACTTTAAGGAATAATAGATATGTCCAAAATACAGCTGGAAATAGCAATATCCTCTCTCAATATATGATAGAATGAATAAACAGAAAATCAGCAAGTATTAAAAGAAGAGATTTGAGTAGCACTATCCGTTTCCCCTGGTTGACATATGTATGTTGTTAATTTACCAGACACATAAAAGGTTAAGAAAGGCCCATAGAATGACTTACTTGGTAACAGTCTCTAGATTATCAAAATACAAAGGGGGAAAAAGAAGATAAAAAGTAGTAAATTAGAGAAGACCTTGGGGCACATATTCTGAGGAAAGGAAGAGTCTGAAACACAGGATAAAAAGAGATCCAGAGAAGAACAATTGCCTGCTTGCCTTCTATGGCACTCGCCTTATGAAATATATCTCTGTAGTCTTTTTCTCTCAATAAATCTGCTTAGTTTATTTCCTTGTCTTCAATTCTTTGATGAAATGGGGAAGCATGAGCAGTGTATTTCTCAACCTAACATGTATATCACTCCATTGAACAAGATCAGAATACACTTTTTTAAAAAGCAGAGTGTATAAAATATTAACCAAGATCCATCATATTATAAATCACAAACCAAAAAGGGAAAATAGAAACTATTTTGAATTTAATGAAAATTAAAGCATAACCATATAGCAAAATTTCTGGGATGCCAATCAGCCCATGTGGTGGTAGTTAAGGTAGCTAGATCCCACATGGCTGACCATGAGATTCAAATCCTGGATCTAGTGGCTTGAAAAACATACCTGGCATGTATGCATGTGTGCCCAAAATCCCAAAAGGAGGGAGAAATGGAGGAGAAGGGATTTTGAAGTAAGATATACCATGAGAAATGTTTTCTCACTATCTCTCTCTTTCTCTCTCTCTCTCTCTCTCTCTCTGTCTTTTTCTGATAAACACATGCATCTTCCAGCAATATAAGGAAAAAAATTCCAGAATGCTGCCAAACCTGCATTTAAGAAGATATTTCTGGCACTAAAGGTCTATACCAACAAGCAGAAAAAATCCACAATTAATAGATCACCTCAACTTCTGCCTTAGGAAATTAGAAAAATAACAAAAAAGATCTATTAAAATATGAAGTATAGGGGCCAGCAAATGGCATGGTGGTTAAGGGTGCTGGACTCCCATATGGTCAACAATGGTTTGAGTCCTGGACCTGGTGACTTGCTTTCTCACTTTCCATCTCTCTCTCTTTCATTCTCTGTCTCTCTCTGGTCAAATTAAAATAAATAAATAAGTAATAAAGCTAAATAAAATAATTCTCTTAAAAATAACTTAAAAGTATAAGAAATAAAATAGATTAGAATGGAAATCAGTGAAACAGAAAATGGAAAAATAACAGAAAATAATCAATGTCAGCAAAAGTTTGCTCTGTGAAATCAGTAAACTTAGCATACTTTTAGCCAGATTTATCAACACTAAAGGACAGAAGAGCCAAATTCTCAGTATCATAAATGATATTAAAATGATAGCAAAGGCATGATATGACTAACTCTATGACCAAAAAAATAACAACTTATAAAGTCAATTTCTCTGTAAATGTTTACTTGAAGAAGATATATATAACCTGACTAGTGCTATACTACAAGGAAACTTCAAACAGTTTATGAAAAAATAAAATTAAAATTAATTTATTTTTGTGCAAAAAAATTTTAAATCTATGAATAATATTTACAAAATGCATATTTTCCATGACCTTTTAAAAAATACCTTAAATTGTGACCAGCAGATGGTGTAATGGTTACGTCGCTGGCCTCCCACATAGTCAACCGAGGTCTGAGTCCTGGACCTGGTGACTTAAAACTCACTCTGGGCACATGTGATTGCATACCCAGGATCCCAAGAGAGGAATGGAGGAGAAGAGATTGCACTGTGGCCATCCCCCCAGAGGGCAATTTTTATCTTTCTGTCTCTCTGTCTCTTGGTCTCTCTCTGTCCCTCCAGTGAGTGCACATGTCCTATAGCAAAATTCTCTCTCAAAAAAAAAAAAAAAAGAAAACAGAAAAAAAAAAAACCATAATGGTGAAAAAATTAAATGCTTTCCTCCAGAGATAAGAAAAAACACAAGAATGTAAGTTCTTACCACTGTTATACAGTATTCACTGGAGGGTCTAGTTAGTGCAATAAGGCAAAAAGGAATACAAAAAGTGCAGAATATAATCCAAAGAAGTAAAATTATCTTGTGGCCAGCAGGTGGCATAATGGTTAAGGCACTGAGCTCCCACATGGCTGACTATGGTTAGAGTCCTGGACCTGGTGGCCTGAAACTCCTGCTGGGCACATGTGTGTGCATGCCCAAAATCCTGGGAGAAGATTGCAGGCAAAGGGACTGTAGCCTGGACATTCCCCCCAAGGGGTGATTTCTCACTTTCTGTCTCTCTGTCTCTCTGGTAAGCACACATGCCCTCTAGAAAAATCTTTCCAAAACAGTCTTTATTTGCTACTTGTTGAGGACATCATTATATATGTAGAAAATATGATATAGTAAAAATAATTCTATAAACTAATAAGTGACTTTAGCAATACTGTAAAATAAAAATCAATAATTCAATATCAATTCTATTTTCAATTAATAGAAAAATAGAATAGGCAAATGAAATTTTAAAATAATACCATATATAGCTGTATCAAAAATTTTAAATACTTAAGTTTGACTCTGACAAAATATATGAAAGACTTATACACTGAAAAAAATGCTGAAATAAATTAAAGATATAAATAAACAGAGATATACCACATTCATTATTCAAGACTCAGCCTGGACCTGGTGGCCTGAAACTCCTGCTGGGCACATGTGTGTGCATGCCCAAAATCCTGGGAGAAGATTGCAGGCAAAGGGACTGTAGCCTGGACATTCCCCCCAAGGGGTGATTTCTCACTTTCTGTCTCTCTGTCTCTCTGGTAAGCACACATGCCCTCTAGAAAAATCTTTCCAAAACAGTCTTTATTTGCTACTTGTTGAGGACATCATTATATATGTAGAAAATATGATATAGTAAAAATAATTCTATAAACTAATAAGTGACTTTAGCAATACTGTAAAATAAAAATCAATAATTCAAAATCAATTCTAATTCCAATTAATAGAAAAATAGAATAGGCAAATGAAATTTTAAAATAATACCATATATAGCTGTATCAAAAATTTTAAATACTTAAGTTTGACTCTGACAAA